GTGTGGCGTCGACGTAGAGAAAGGTCCAATCCGGCAGCAATTGTGGAACGCCCCACCGTGCGACAACGTGGAATCATGGTTTGGGGCGCAATCGCGTATGATTCCAGGTCACCTTTACTTCGTATTCAGGGCACTATGACGGCCCAACGATACGTTGATGATGTGCTGCGACCGGTGACACTCCCCTACCTTCAGGGGGTACCCAATGCCCTTTATCAGCAGGATAACGCCCGAACGCACACTGCTCGCATTAGCCAACAAGCTCTGCAAGATGTACAGATGCTTCCCTGGCCACCGTACTCTCCTGATCTCTCACCAATCGAGCACATCTGGGACATCATTGGACGCCGTTTGCATGCCTTGCTACAGCCGCGTTCAGAAGACGGACTGTGGCAAATGGTTGAGAGGGAATGGAGAGCCATCCCTCAGGACGCCATCCGTACTCTGATTGACTCTCTACCTAGATGTGTTGCTGAGTGCATCGCCGTCCGGGGTGGTTCTACTTGCTACTAAGCCGACGCCGTTCTCGCTCTGTATTATGACTATCATTTTGAAATAATGATCACTTATTGTTCGTCCCTGTCTCTCTCTGTCTGCCGAGTTTCATCACTTTCTGGCCACTATTTCTTGGTGTTCCATTTTCAATGTCACGCAGTGTATATATTATATCTATATTAATAAAATGGAAATTTCATAAGTGTTGTTCACTAAAAACTTTCATTACAATGCATCAATTTCGACCAAATTTTCAACATTTATGTAAAACGAAATGGAGCAGGTTTTGCTTAACATCAAAATATTTTTCCTAACTTTAACATGCGTAACTTCGCTGTTATCGATTAAATACAAAAAAAATCAACAGAGTTAATTTTATTTATATATAAATACAAAAAAAAATCAGCAATTCATTCAACTCAATCTAAAAAAATATTTAAAAAAAGAAATTTTAAGATAACACCATATGTAAAACAGTCGGCCAAGAAAACAAAAACGATATTACATCTTTCTCACATATTCACACACAATCTTGATTAATAATTAAAACTAATCTTTAACATTGTTTATTATACTTCATATTATATAATATTCGTTAGGCAAACTTTCACTCGGATAAAACCCGGGCGAAGCCGGGTATACATCCGCTAGTATATATATTGTATTTTAAACTGTATTAAAATGTACACCGTTTCTGTTTGCTGCCACCCCAATATTTTGTATATATGCTATATCTTTATTAATAATACCTGTAAACCCCTATTTGTATGTAAAACTAAAAATGTTGACGTGAAAATAAAAATCCATAGAACGGTCAGCTGGGGAGAGGGGTGGAAAAAGGCAACGCCCAGCCCATGTGAGGCCCCCAGGGACTCTTTATAAACGACCCCTGAAAACAAGACAAGTTTTGGCAGGGGGTCAGCAGATGGTTCTAGGGGGTGTTTCTCGGCAGTCCGCTTCAGCTTTTCTCTCTCACACACACTCTCTCTCCATGTCTCTGTGATAAACATCAAAGTTGGTGTCATGGCCTCTACCTCTGTCCCGTGGGCTGTCCCCGATCACTCTATGTGCTAAAATCTAGCCCTGCCTCTGCTTCTTGTTGTCCGCGTGTGGGAAGAACCTCAACACTCGTCTCACGTACACGACTGCCAGTTCATCCATACGTCGGCACATTGCAACAATAATACATATAAATACTAGCAGATGTGTACCCGGCTTCGCCCGGGTTTTATCCGAGTGAATGTATGCCTAATGAATTTTTTGATAGTAATATTCCGGAACATACAGAATATTATGATAATAATGTTAATAATATTCGTTACATTTAATATTTATATAATACTAGCGGACGTACCCGGCTTCGCCCGGGTTTCACCCGAGTAAAAGTTTGTCTAACGAATCTCTCGATAAAGTGAACATTTTTTTTCCCGGTCCCTTGAAAAATACTCGATAAGTTGAATAAAATCAATATTAATTAGTTCCCTCGGTAATTGGAAGTTAAAGGAATAGTATCTTGCCTTGGATTTGTATCATTATTCTTGTATGGATGTACCCGGCTTCACCCGGGTTTTACCCGAGTAAAGGTTTGTTTAACGAATCTCTCGATAAAGTGAACATTTTTCCGGTCCCTTGAAAAGTACTCGATAAGTTGAATAAGATCAATATTAATTGGTTCCCTCGGTAATAGGAAGTTAAAGGAATAGTATCTTGCCTTGGAATTGTATCATTATTCTTGTATGGATGTACCCGGCTTCGCCCGGGTTTTACCCGAGTAAAGGTTTGTTTAACGAATCTCTCGATAAAGTGAACATTTTTTCCTGGTCCCTTGAAAAATACTTGATAAGTTGAATAAAATCAATATTAATTGGTTCCCTCGGTAATTGGAAGTTAAAGGAATAGTATCTTGCCATGGAATTGTATCATTATTCTTGTATGGATGTACCCGGCTTCGCCCGGGTTTTACCCGAGTAAAGGTTTGTTTAACGAATCTCTCGATAAAGTGAACATTTTTTCCCCGGTCCCTTGAAAAATACTCAATAAGTTGAATAAAATCAATATTAATTGGTTCCCTCGGTAATTGGAAGTTAAAGGAATAGTATCTTGCCTTGGAATTGTATCATTATTCTTGTCTCAAATATATTGCCGTGTCATCCTGAATTTTGTCTTTCCTAATTTTCTACATTATAAAATCATCGTATCATCATGATAATATTTAGAGCAGATTGTTGAATTATAACAGATAAATTAGAATATATATCTTGATTATTTCTAGGCGAAAAGTTATTTCAAAAATTTTATTTGCTAGAAACCTTACCCAGTACTATACTAAATAACTTCCCAAAGTTTCATGGCGTTCCAATGAGTGGTTTGGTCAGGCATGAAGGACAAACAGACACACACACACACATACATTCATTTTTATATATATAGACTAGACGTATGACCCGGCTTCGCCCGAGAATTCCCCCGATTGCAATTTCCTTCATACTGAAAGTACATCAATAATAAATATTAGAAGTGCCATAGAATAGCAATACAGAAGTAACACATAAACTACAGGAAAAAAATGTGTTTATGGCAAAAATTGTATTACATTAGTGTTTGGGTATTTGATTTAATTAATATAGTTGATATAATAATATATATTTATCTACTTATATATTTGCCTTATTCTGTCTGTTTGTTTGTCTGTCTGAAGCTCACGGATGGGATTTTTCAAAACCATCGGTGGTTCAGTGGTAGAATGCTCGCCTGCCACGCGGGCGGCCCGGGTTCGATTCCCGGCCAATGCATTTTTTTTTTTACAATTTTAAAAACTCATTTATATATTATACAAGAATGACATCCACGGCGCCAATTTATAATTGTAACGAATAGTATTTGAATAAAAGCATTTAATCGGGTAAAACCCGGGCGTTGCCCGATTCATTCGTATATAATAATTGTATAAACGAATGCAAGACAAAATCACCGCGAATGTTTCTTTTTTTTTTAAGGCAATTTCTTTTTAAGGCAATTATCGTTATTTATCGTTAATTTTTGTTTCGATTTTATTGGAAAAAAAAACGATATGGTGCCTTTAAAAAATGATCTTTATTACTATGCAGTTTTCTATTTAGTCAATATACCTAAGTTCATGTTGCAAATGTAATTATCTCTATCGATTTAGTAGGTGAAATGCAAAAAAAAAAAATCGACATGATGAACACAGTTTGGGGTGGGACGTTTCACAAGAGAGACATCCACGGCTCCAATTTATAATTGTAACAAATAGTGTTTTAATTAAAACATTTTAAAAACACACAGTTTGGAACGGGACGTTACAAGAGTGACATCCATGGCGCCAATTTATAATTGTAACGAAAAGTATTTGAATTTTACCCGAGTGCGTATATATTTTTAAAACGTTTTAATTCAAATACTATTCGTTACAATTATAAATTGGCGCCATGGATGTCACTCTTGTGAAACGTCCCGTTCCAAACTGTGTGTTTTTAAAATGTTTTAATTAAAATACTATTTGTTACAATTATAAATTGGCGCCGTGGATGTCTCTCTTGTGAAACGTCCCGCCCCAAACTGTGTGTGTCTTGAAAATATAAAAATAAAAATGTGAATTTTCATAAAGATTTCATCATGTCGATTTTTTTGTTTGCATTTCACCTACTAAATCGATAGAGATAATGACATTTGCAACATGAACTTAGGTATATTGACTAAATAGAAAACTGCATAGTAATAAAGATCATTTTTTAAAGGCACCATATCGTTTTTTCTTTTCAATAAAATCGAAACAAAAATTAACGATAAATAACGATAATTGCCTTAAAAAGAAATTGCCTTAAAAAAAAAGAAACATTCGCGGTGATTTTGTCTTGCATTCGTTTATATAATTATTATATACGAATGACCCGGACAACGCCCGGGTTTTACCCGATTAAATGCTTTTATTCAAATACTATTCGTTACAATTATAAATTGGCGCCGTGGATGTCATTCTTGTATAATATATAAATGAGTTTTAAAAATTGTAAAAAAAAAAAAAAATGCATCGGCCGGGAATCGAACCCGGGCCGCCCGCGTGGAAGGCGAGCATTCTACCACTGAACCACCGATGGTTATGAAAATTCCCATCCGTGAGCTTCAGACAAACAAACAGACAGAATAAGGCAAATATATAAGTAGATACGAATGACCCGGGCAACGCCCGGGTTTTACCCGATTAAATGCTTTTATTCAAATACTATTCGTTACAATTATAAATTGGCGCCGTGGATGTCATTCTTGTATAATATATAAATGAGTTTTGAAAATTGTAAAAAAAAAAAAAAAATGCATCGGCCGGGAATCGACCCGGGCCGCCCGCGTGGCAGGCGAGCATTCTACCACTGAACCACCGATGGTTATGAAAAATCCCATCCGTGAGCTTCAGACAGACAAACAAACAGACAGAATAAGGCAAATACATAAGTAGATAAATGAGTTTTAAAAATTGTAAAAAAAAATGCATCGGTCGGGAATCGAACCCGGGCCGCCCGCGTGGTAGGCGAGCATTCTACCACTGAACCACCGATGCTTATAAAATGGCCATATTTGGGTATTCATTCCATTCCGGATTACTCCGCGTGAAAAAAAAAGGTTCTTCAAATGAAAAAAGAAATAGCCAAAAATTATAATCAAAATGTAGCCGAAAATTTTCCTCAGGTTAAATATATCTTTTTTTTTATAAGTTTATAGAGAATTGTTTTAACAAATATTCGTTAGACAAACCTTTACTCGGGGAAAACCCGGGCGAAGCCGAGTACGTCCGCTAGTATATCTATAAAAATTAAATCCAAAATCGATGTTTGTTATCGCGTTGCGCAAAATCTACGGAATCAATCATTATGAAATTTCGCATGAAGGTAGCTGAAGCTTTCTTTTAACATAAAGACTATTCAAAAAACTAAGAGGTTTAATGTGCTTTTTCATAAATGTAAAACCAAAAATTGTTAGTTCCAGTCTTTTCGCCCTTGGCACATCACTGGTCGCGTTGATAAATGAATTTAATTGGTTAAAATTCACACCTAGTTTGTTTGTTTGTTTACACGATAAATGTTTTTAAAAGGTAAGATTATCCAATCGCCGTGAAACTTTAAGAAGTTATTTACTATACTACTGAGAAGATTTCTGGTTTGAATTTGATTTGAAATAAATATTCGTTGCAATTTCATTTGCAAATTTTCAACTTTCACTCGCAAGCAGCACTCTCACGGCATCTGGTGAAATTACATTTATAAATTGTGAATATGCTAAAATGTGTTCCAAGTATAATAAATTCAATATTTGATTTGAAGATTTAGTAACATAATATTCCAATGACTTGTAAAAAAACTTGGCATTTCAATATTAATATATATTTAAAGAAAATATCCTATTTGAAATTTAATAAATGTTTTCAAAAATATTATGTGTTTCAAAAATATATTTAAACGCATATAACAATATTTATATACGTTTATAAATCTATTTAAAGGAGTATTTGATGTTTTATAGAATCGTTTTAACAAATGTTCGTTAGGCAAACTTTCACTCGGGTAAAAACCGGGCGATGCCGGGTACATTCGCTAAATAAAGTTATTTACAAATGTTCGTTTTTGGCAAGATACTATTCCTTCAACTTTAAATTACCGAGTGGACCGATTAATATTGATTTTATTCAATTTATCGAGTATTTTTAAAGGGACTGGGAAAAATATTTTCAAATTATCGAGAGTATAGTCAAGTATAGATTCAGTAGGGATTGTTCACTAGCAATTGTTCACTTTATCGAGAGATTCGTTAGACAAACCTTTACTCGGGTAAAACCCAGGCGAAGCCGGGTACATCTATACAAGAATAATGATACAATCTAAGGCAAGATACTATTCCTTTAGCTTCCAATTACCGAGGAAATCAATTAATATTGATTTTATTCAACTTATCGAGTATTTTTCAAGGGACCGGAAAAAAATGTTCACTTTATCGAGAGATTCGTTAGAGAAACCTTTACTCGGGTAAAACTCGGGCGAAGCCGAGTATATCCGCTAGTATATTATATAAATATATAATGTAACGAATATTATTATCAGTATTATCATAATATTCTGTGTGTTCTGGAATATTATTATCAATAATATTCGTTAGGCTAACTTTCACTCGGATAAAACCCGGGCGAAGCCGAGTACACATCCGCTAGTATCCCTATATATATAAAAGTCAGTTTATGTATGTATGTATGTATGTATGTATGTATGCATGTTTGTCGGCTATACACGTCCACAATACGTAACTAATCTTAATGAATTTTTAACAGCATATATACATGTATAAATACTTGTAGTAGAATCTGGAAAACATATAGTCAATATTTCAGGTCTCTATCTCGAATATTCTTAAATATATTTAAAATGAAAAAAAAAAAGATAAAAATATATAAAAAATAAAGTTGTCAACTATATTGCCTAATGCCTCTTCAGAATGAAGGGAAGGCTGTTTTCTGAAAGCTAAAGATATTTTTGACACCAATACAATGTGTCCAACATTAGTCCCTGTCATTTTTTGCGCTTCAAGGACATGAGAACACTTGCACTGTATTACCATGCGTGTGCCATTGTAAAGACTCTGCTTAGGATTAAAAATTTCTCAGAAGCATAACCATAGCACCAACCTAGAGTTTAACTGGTGTAGAGGCATTCCTCTGGGAGTAAGGCAATTTAAAAACTCAGTAGGGAGTTATTTTGCTCCTCCACAATCTTACACTCCACACTGTTAACAATGAGGAAACACTGACTCATGTTTGGTAAGATATTTCGGGAAAGATACCATATATAGGCATTGGTTGAAAAGTTTATATAAATATATTTAAATTGAAAAAAAAAGAAAATTAAACCAATCTATATTAATAAAATGCAAATTTCATAAGAGGACATCACTAAACACTTTCGTTACAATGCATCAATTTCGACCAAATTTTCAACATTTATGTAAAACGAGATGGAGCAGGTTTTGCTTAACATCAAAATATTTTTCCCTAACATTAACATGCGTAACTTCGCTGTTATCGATTAAATACAAAAAAAATCAACAGAGTTAATTTTATTTATATATAAATACAAAATTAAATTTCAACAGAGTTAATATTTTACATACTAGCTAATAATCTCAATCTAAAAATATAATATAAAAAGCCAACAATGAAGAGTGAATGTAAGATAAAAAGCCAACAATGAAGAGTAAATGTAATATAAAAAGCCAACAATGAAGAATGAATGCAAGATAAAAAGCCAACAATGAAGAGTGAATGTAATATAAAAAGCCAACAATGAAGAATGAATGTAAGATAAAAAGCCAACAATGAAGAGTGAATGTAAGATAAAAAGCCAACAATGAATAGTAAATGTAATATAAAAAGCCAACAATGAAGAATGAATGTAAGATAAAAAGCCAACAAAGAAGAGTAAATCTACTTATATAATTGCCTTATTCTGTCTGTGTGAAGTTCACTGTGTGAAGTTCACAGATAGATTTTGGTCAGAATATAATATAAAAAGCCAACAATGAAGAGTAAATATGATATAAAAAGCCAACAATGAAGAATGAATGTAAGATAAAAAGCCTACAATAAAGAGTAAATGTAATATAAAAGCCAACAATGAAGAATAAATTTAAGATAAAAAGCCAACAATGAAGAGTAAATATAATATAAAAAGCCAACAATGAAGAATAAAGGCAATGTGACACGGCAATGTGACACGGGAAAAAATGTTCACTAGATAAAACTATGGTTTTCTAATGTAGAAAATTAGGAAAGACAAAATTCAGGATGACACGGCACACAGGGACCGGGAAAAAATTTTCACTTTATCGAGAGATTCAAATTTACGAGTTTCAAATTATCAAAATATATCTTTTTTTTTAAATAAGTTTTTAGAGAATTGTTTTAACAAATGTTCGCTAGACAAACCTTTACTCGGGTAAAACCCCGGGCGAAGCCGAGTACGTTTTATAAGTTTATAGAGAATTGTTTTAACAAATGTTCGTTAGACAAACATTCACTCGGGTAAAACCCGGGCGAAGCCGGGCACATCCGCTAGTCAGCAAATAAAATTGCAAACAACACAACTATATTGCATATAATACAATGTATAAAAGGAATGAATTCATTCAAAAGACCTCATTAAAAACTACACTTCTAGTTTTATATATACAGTATCACCTCATTAATTCGACACACGATAATTCGACCTGTTTTGATGTCCTAAACTATGGCCTATCATATAACAAACTAATTCGACACTATCGATAATTCGACCATTTTAAAATTCAAATTTATACAGTTGATTGTTGTTTAAATACAACTTTACCATCAAAAAGATATTACAGAGGCAACTGAAAATGTACAAAATTTATGTATAGAGCAGTAGAAAAAAAATTAGTAAATAAAGAGAAGACCAAAATTGAAATAAATGAAAAAGTTTATTAGCAAACAAATAATACAAAAAATCCTTTCAGGTGTGAATGTATAGGCATTGGTTAAATTTATATAAATATATTTAAAACTAGCGGATGTACCCGACTTCGCCCTGATTTTACCCGAGTAAAGGTTTGTTTAATGAACATTTGTTAAAACAATTCTCTATAAACTTATTAAAAAAAAGATATATTTTGATAATTTGAAACTCGTTAATTTGAATCTCTCGATAAAGTGAACATTTTTTCCCGGTCCCTTGAAAATTACTCGATAAGTTGAATAAAATCAATATTAATTGGTTCCCTCGATAATTGGAAGTTAAAGGTATAGTATCTTTGCCTTGGAATTGTATTATTATTCTTGTCTCAAATAAATTGCCGTGTCATCACCAATTTTGTCTTATCTAATTTTCTACATTACAAAATCATCGTTTTATCTAGTGAACATTTTTTCCCGGTCCTTTGAAAAATACTCGATAACTAACTTTGACTTGTGCGCAATTAATAGGTAGAAATCTTACTTTTGATAAATAATCTTTAAGATAATAAACTTAGTGATAATAAAACTTATAGATAAAAAACTTGTTAACATCGTCGCAATGGGGGCGCTGCTTTCGAGTTAAATCTGCAAATAACTCTAAGGATATTCAAGAAATTATTTTTTAGAAACCTTCCCAGTACTATACTAAGTAACTTCCCAAAGTTTCATGGCGTTCCAATGAGTGGTTTGGTCAGGCATAAAGGACAGGCAGACACTCATACATTCATTTTTATATTTTAAGATGAAAAAAAAAGTAGTTTTTGCTCCTCCTCATTCTCATGTTTGGTGAGCAATTTCTGGTGAGGAAATATAGCCATTGGTGAAATGTTTAGATAAATACATTTAAAGTGGATAATTGAAAATATATAACAAATCAGAAAATAAAATTGCAATTCTAGTCTATATATATATATAAAACTAGCGGATGTGTAGCCGGCTTCGCCCGGGTTTTATCAGAGTGAAAGTTTCCCTAACGAATATTATTGATAATATTATTCCGGAACACACAGAATATTATGATAATAATGATAATAATATTCGTTGCA